TGTGTGTGTGTGTGTGTATGCATACACACGCTGAATTTCAGTTATCCATTGACAGACACTTAATTCCATGACTATGCCATTGTGAATAGTGTGGTGATTACCATACCAGTGAAGGTGACTGATATGATTTGACCCTGTGTCCCCAGCCAAATCTAAACTTGAATTTTAATAGTCCCCATATATCCTGGGAGAGACCTGTGGGAGTTTGCACTGGAGCACTGCCTTGTGGAGCTATGAGAAGAGGGTTACCATCCTCCAGACTCCATAATGGCAGATCCACCGACAGCTTGCTTTGTGCATGTATACCTAGAAAAGCTGCACTCAGTGTCAGACCATGAAAGCAGTTGGGAGTGGGCTGTACCCTGCAAAGCCACAGGAGTGTAGCTGTTCAAGGCCATGGGAGCCAACCTCACGTCTCAGTGTGACCAGGATGCAGGACATGGAGTCAAAGGAGATCATTTTGGGCTTTAAGATTTGACTGCCCCACTGGATTTTGGACTTGTATAGGGCCTGTTGCCCCTTTGTTTTGGTCAATTTTTTCCATTTGGAGCAGGTATCTACCCAATGCCTGTACCCACATTGTATCTAGGAAGTAACTTGCCTTAGATTTTACAGGTTCATAGGTGGAAAGAACTTGCCTTGTCTTAAAGGAGACTTTAGACTGTGGACTTTTGAGTTAATCCTAAAATGAGTTAAGAATTGAAGGCATGATTAGTTTTGAAATGTAAGGACATGAGATTTTGGAGGGGCCAAGGGGGGAATGATACAATTGGCTCTGTGTCTCCACCCAAATCTAACCTGGAATTGTAATAATCCCCAAATGCCCTGGGAGGAACATGGTGGGAGGTAAGAGAATCATGGGTGCAGGGTTTTATTGGCTTATTTGCTTTTTTCTCATTTAGTTTTTTGAGTTCCTTGTAGATTCAAGATATTAGCCCTTTGTGTAGTACATAATTTGCAAGTATTTTCCCACTCTGTCCGTTGCCTACATACTCTGTTGATTGTTTCTTTGGCTACAAAAAGCTTTTTAGTTTAATTAAGTCCAATTTGTCTATGTTTCTGTTTGTAGTGTTTGCTTTTGAGGACTTAAATCATAAATTCTTTACTTAAGCCAGTGTCCAAAAGAGTTTTTCATACATTTTATCAAGGAATTTTATAAGTTTCAAGTCTCATATTTATAGTTTCAAGAGATTAATTCATCTTAATTTTTATATGATGAGAGACAAGTGTCCAGTTTTATGCTTCTGCCTATTGCTACCCAATATTCCAAGTACCATTTATTGAATAGGGTTTTGATTCTCTAGTGTATATTTTTGTCAACTTTATCAAAGATCAATTGCTTATAGGTATTTCACTTTACTTTGGGGATTTCCATTCTGTTTCATTGATCTTTGTGTTTATTTTTATACCAGTACTATACTGTTTGGGTTACTACATAGCCTTAAAATACCATCTGAAATCAGGTAATGTGATATCTCCAAATTCATTCTTTTTGCTTACTATTGCTCTGGTCATTTGATCTCTTTTTTATTCCATATGAATTTCAGTACTTCTTTTTTTCTAATTCTGTGCAAAATGACATTGGTAATTTGATAATTGTGTTGAATCTGTTGATTGTTTTGGGCAGTATTCAGATGTACAAAAAACTAGTTCTAATCCTGCTAAAACTATTCCAAAAAATTGAGGAGGAGAGAATCCCCTCTAACTCATCTACAAAACCAGCATCACTCTGAAACAAATACCAGTCAAGAACACAAAACAATAAAAACATAAAACTACAGGCCAATATCCCTGATTAATATAAATGCAAAAATCTTTGACAAAATACTAGCAAACCAATTTTAACAGCACATCAAAAGACAATACACAGTAATCAAGTGGGTTATATTCCAGGGATTCCAGGATGTTTCAGCATTTGTAAATCAATAAATGTGATTTACCAAATAAAGAGAATTAAGGGTAAAACCTATATAGGAATCTTAGTAGATGCAGAAAAAGCATTTGATAAAATTCAGGATCTCTTCTAGATTAAAAAAAAAGAAAAGAAAAGAAAGACCTCAAGAAACTTGGCATAGGAAAAAACATAAATAAATATAACGAAAGCCACATACCACAAACCTGCAGCCAATGTCATACAGAATGGGGAAAAGTTGAGCACATTCCCCCTGAATTTAAAGGATTCTCACTTTGACCACTTCTATTCACCACATCCATTCTTAATTATTTCTCATCTTGCTGTCTACCTAGGAAGATTAACTAGGAGGGGTTGCATTGATTTTCTACTTGGATCAGACAGTGAGAGGCACTGGTAGAAACTAGAAGACCAGGAGAAAGGAGGAATGGAGTACTTGTACCCAGCTTCCTAGTTGATGGGTCATGGTTGGCCGCATTTTTCTTTGGGCACCAGTCCTTTCCAAACCTCTTTGTATGGCTATGCTTTGCCTTCTGGTAAGCACCTTCTCCTTTTGCAATTTTAGTCCCAGGATGAAAATGGTTTCCAGCCCTGGTACTGAAATTTCCCTTCTTAAATTCCCTAAAGCCAGCCCACAATTTGTAATAGTTTTTTATTTTTAACTTTCTTCAAATTCCCAGTTTGATTGTGCCATCTGTTTCCTGCCAAGTCCCTGAGCAAACATTCATTCGGATTTAATGTATACTTTAAAAACAAACACTGTAAATTTAATACCTCCCAGTACAACTTTTATTTGGAGAATATCTTGATAAAATTTTCTCAGGACTTACCTAGAAATATTCTGTTTAGAAATGATACAATAAAATTTAAATCTGTGATAATTTTGATTAGTCAGATTAATATTGAAATTTGGGGAATAAAGCTGACTTATAAACAAAATATTATTAAGGAGAAAAGTGCACATTCAGCAAAAAGTAGTTGAAGAATTCAGTGTTCCACTTGATAATTGATACATCACTTAGACATGATACCAAAAATGATATAGAATTCTTAAACATAAATACACCTGACCTAAAACACAACTACAAAACACTCTTGCTTACAGTGAAAAATATAGTTTGCAACTCTAAAGAAATTTAGATCTAAGGCATATGCCTAATTTTTAAAAGAAGCTATGACATTGTGATATATCAACAAATTCCTGCTGCTTCTTGTAGAAATATGTTCGAAATGTTATTTTACAGGCAATCCCTCTGAAGATACAGAATCTGGTTTCTATACATTGCATTGTTCTAGTCACATGCAGTTTAATTTCACGGCCTGGTTAAAATGGTTTAACACTGATAAGAACATTGACCGCTGTTAGAACTAGCCTTCAACATGTTCTATAGGGAGTGTGGAAATTCACTGTTGCTAGTAATTCCCTAGAATCCTCAGTAATTGTGTTTTTTCACAGTCTTGAGAGACAACGGTGGCATTTACAAACATGCATTCACATGCCGATTGAAGACAATAATTATCTTCAAGGGATATCCTCAGCCTGGGAAAAACGACAGAGCAGGCAGTGGGCACACATTTGTCTGTAATTACATGTATGCTTCTCTTTTGGAAATCCCTGGATATATTCACAAGATCCTTGGCAAAGGAGAGAATGTGGTTTATTTTATATCCAGAAACTGAGTAGGTGTGCTTATGTTAGATTTTAGCACTACCAACTAAGTATGGTGGCTTGCACGTAGTTCACAAATATTAACACAACAATTTTTAGCTGTTACTCATATGTAATTTTACTTCAAAAACACTAATGAACCATTTTGGACCTTTCTGTAGGCAGACACTAAGACACACGCACAATATTTAGTGGAGACATTGTCTTTGAAAAATTAAGGAGAAATGACAAATACGTAGCCAGTGAGAAACCTTCTGCGAGTGATGTATAAAGGAAAGAAAGGGCTAACATTAACTTCTCTCATAGTGCAGCTACATGAAATTTCATTCCATGTCTATTGAGGAGAACCAAAGTAAATATTTCCCATGAAAAGATTTCTGTGATCATCAGGAAAAGCCTAGTTCTATCAACCCCAGAAATCTTGGTCACTGTCTGGGAATATCCATGAAAGAATATGGCCTTAGCATCAATTCAAAGATGCAACAGATATTTGAAGACCATTTGCCAACTACACATATCATAGTAACTAGGTTCTCTTGATGGGAGACATGAGTGGAGCTCCTCAGTGACTATCACAAATAGCATTCTGAAAAACTATACACTCTGGAGTATAGGCAAAATATTATATTACTTGCACATCCAGAGCCTACTAAATATCAGGATGGAATTGAAATGCATATTGTCAACTACATAATTTATTTATTGAAAAATAAAAATATCTTCATTACTTAAGAAAGATTACATTTTAAAATCATATGTTGGATAAACTAAAATTAGAGGGAGATAATCCAGGAAATAGAAGAAAATATGACAAAGTTTTGACAAAAATAAGAATAAAGGGAATCTAAAAATGTATATCTTTAGAAGGAAATGGTCTAATTTGTCATTGTTTTATGCATCTGAAAGCGGAAAACAGGTTTCACAAGATTTCTCATCAGCTAGATAATGATATACTCTTCTAAGTAAGGATAAGGGAGAAAATAAGGTATGCAGTCATCTTTGAGAGAACAATCATCACTATTTAAAAAGATAAAATCATCATTCTCAGCAAACTGACAGAAGAACAGAAAACCAAACATGGCATGCTCTCACTTACAAATGTGTGTTGAACAATGAGAACACATGAACACAAGGAGGGGAACATCACACACCAGGGCCGGGGGTGTGGGGTGCTAGGGGAGAAATAGCAGGGAGTGGGGTGGATTGGGGAGGAATAGCATTAGGAGAAATACTTAATGTAGATGGCTGGGCGATGGATGCAGCAAACCACCACCATGTCATGTGTATACCTATGTAATACACCTGCACCATCTCCACACGTACCCAGGAACTTAAAGTATATTTTAAAAAAATAAAAAATAAAAGTTCCATATCAAAAAAAAAATAAAATAAAAAATGAAAAGATAAAAATCTCACCAGTGAAAACACACCATATTGTATTTACCATGTGGATTAATGTGGATTAAGTTTTAAATGAAGGTAAGCAATGATGAAACAGCATTCACATTATAAGCAGGCCTAGAAATATGGATACAGCAATATAATCGGATAAAGTGTTTCATAGCCAACTATTTCTGGAACTACGACACCATAACCAAAATCATGGCTGATTTCTTCCTTTGTCACTTGAACATTTTCGTTACATTTGACATGTTAAAAAATATTTTTTGTGACACATGCATAGCACTTAGCAGTGGGAAATCAAAATGAGGTTGTAAGGTTTCACTAACCCAATAACTCTCACTGAGAAGATACACAAAGAGCAGCAATGAAACCATCACTCTGTGACTCTAAGGAAAACACAATAACAAATTTAAAAAATTGAATATTAACAATTGTTTAATTCACTTAGCATAATACCATATGCTCATATCTCAAAACTGTAAACTGGAATTTAACTGTACCTGTAAAAAAAAAACTACATATATATTATTGCCAAAAACACTGGCTTGCCTCCACTGACCTTCACAGTGTTGCAGATAATGTTATAAATTATAATTACAAAACCAATTCCTGGGAGTTTGATCCAAGATGGCCATTTAGGAACAGCTTGGAGTTGCAGCTCTCAGTGAAAGCACAGAGGGCAAGCAGACGCCCCATTTTTATAGCCCACGGACCAGGAGATTCCCAGGTGGAGGTGCCCCATCGGTCACCAGCGAGGCTGTTTTGGCCGGCGCTGCTGTTTCCACGGGCGGGGCTGCTTTGCCCTGCCCAGCTGCTTTGTAGGCAGCCCAGCCGGGGGTTCTCAGTACAAAATACACTGGTCTGGGTGCCCTTTTGGCTGGCAATTGGAGTCCCCGGGAAGCTGCGCATTCATCTGATTAAAGAGGGGTCTGAAGACAGGGAGCCAGGCCAGGAGATTCCTGAGCAAAAAAAGCGCCACGAATCTCAGCTCCACTGTTTAAGCTGGTGCAGTAGGTGGCCGCATGGGAAACAGATCCCGGCGCCCTTTCAACAGGCGACTGGAACACCTGGGATAAAAAAGAAAAAAAAAAAGGCTCTGAGGCAGGGAGCCAGGCGATCAGGTTCGGCTGGTCCCACCCACCACAAAAGAACAGCAATCAGAAACTCTCTGGATTGAGAGTTTCACAGCAAGCACAGCTGAACCCGGGACTGTCCAGCTCTGTGGGGGAGGGGCGTCCGCCATTACCGAGGCACTCCACCTATAAGGAGGTAGTCTGCCATTGCTGAGGCAGCCTGCTGTTGCCAAGGCAACCCGCCATTGCTGAGGCTGCCTGCCATTGCCAAGGCTACCTGTCATTGCAGAGGCAACCTGGCATTACAGAGAGAGTCCGCCAATACAGAGGCAGGCCACCGGTGCCAAGGCAGTTCTAACTACACCCATATAAACAGGACTGCAGGGAAGTTCACTCAGCAGCTGGCCGGAGCCCACAGCAGCTCAGCAAAGCCTCTACAGGCAGACAGTGACTAGGCTGCCTCCTTGCAGGGCAGGGCAGCCCTGAAAAAAAAAAAAAGGCAGCAGCGCAATGGAAACTCATAAATAAAGCCCTAACTCCCTGGGACAGAGCACCTGGGAACAAAAGGCAGTTTATGAGTTCTGCTGCAGTAGACTTAAACATACCTGCCCAGCAGCTCTGAATGAACAACAGAGCTCACATCTCAGCACTTGAACTCCTGTAAAAGACAGACTGTCTCCTCAAGCAGCTCCCTGACCCCTGTATAACTAAAGAGTCACCTCATAAAGGAGAGATCAGACTGACATTTGGCAGGTATCCTTCTGGAACAAAGATAGCAGAAGAAGAAACTGGTAGCAGCACTTACTGTTCTGCAGCTGCTGCAGGTGATCCCCAGGTAAGCAGGGCCTGGAGTGAACCTTAGCAGTCCTACAGCAGAGGAACCAGGTTGTTAGAAGGAAAACTAAGAAAGAGAAATAACTTCATCTTCAACAAACCAGACGTCCACTCAGAGACCCAATCTGAAAGTCAGCAACTACAAAGATGACAGGTAGATAAATCCATAAAGATGGGAAGAAACTAGTGCAAAAAGGATGAAAAGACCCAAAACCACAACACCTCTCCTCCTACAAGGGATCACAACTCCTCACCAGCAAGGGAACAAGGTTGGATGGAGAACGAGTGTGATGAAATGACAGAATCAGACTTCAGAAGGTGGGTAGTAAGAAACTTCTGTGAACTAAAAGAACATGTTCTAACCCAATGCAAAGAAAATAAGAACCTTGAAAAAAGATTTGACGAAATGCTAACGAGAATGGACAATTTAGAAAGGAATATGAGTGAATTGATGGAGCTGAAAAACACAACATGAGAACTTCGCGAAGCATGCACAAGGTTCAAAGGCAAATTGACCAAGCAGAAGAAAGAATATCAGAGGTCGAAGATCAACTCAATGAAATAAAACAAGAAGGCATGATTAGAGAAAAAAGGGTAAAAAGGAATGAACAAAGTCTCCAAGAAATGTGGGACTATGTGAAAAGACCTAATCTACGTTTGATAGGTGTACCTGAATGTGACGAAGAGAATGAATCCAAGCTGGAAAATACTCTTCAGGATATTAACCAGGAAAACTTCCTGAACCTAGCAAGGCAGGCCAATATTCAAGTCCAGGAAATACAAAGAACACCACAAAGGTATTCCTCAAATAGAGCAACCCCAAAGCACATAATCGTCAGATTCATCAGAGTTGAAATGAAGGAGAAAATACTAAGGGCAGCTGGAGAGAAAGGTCAGGTTACCCACAAAGGGAAGCCAATCAGACTCACAGCAGATCTCTCAGCAGAAACCGTAAAAGCCAGAAGAGAGTGGGGGCCAATATTCAACATCCTTAAAGAAAAGAACTTTCAATCCCAAATCACATATCCAGCCAAACTAAGCTTCATAAGTGAAGGAAAAATAAAATCCTTTGTGAACAAGCAAGTACTCAGAGATTTTGTCACCACCAGACATGCTTTACAAGAGCTCCTGAAGGAGGCTCTACACGTAGAAAGGAACAACCAGTACCAGCCACTCCAGAAACATGTCAAATGGTAAAGAGAATCAACACAATGAAGAATCTGCATCAACTAATGGGCAAAAGAGCCAGCTAGCACCAAAATGGCAGTATCAAATTCACACATAACAATATTAACCCTAAATGTAAATTGACTAAATGCCCCAATCAAAAGACACAGACTGGCAAATTGGATAATAAGCCAAAACTTATCAGCGTGCTATATCCAGGAAACCCATCTCACATGCAAGGATACTCAAAGGCTCAAAATAAAGGGATGGAGGAAGATTTACCAAGCAAACGGAGAGCAAAAAAAGCAGGAGTTGCAATTCTCATCTCTGACAAAGATCAAAAGAGACAAAGAAGGACATTGCATAATTGTAAAAGGATCAATGCAACAAGAAGAGCTAACGATCCTAAATATATATGCACCCAATACAGGAGCACCCAGATACATAAGGCAAGTTCTTAATGACTTACAAAGACACTTAGACTCCAACACAATTATAGTGGGTGACTTTAACACCCCATTGTCAATATTAGACAGATCAATCAGACAGAAAATTAACAAGGATATCCAGGACTTGAACTCAGACCTGGACCAAGCTAACCTAATAGACATTTACAGAACTCTCCACCCCAAATCCACAGAATATACATTCTTCTCAGCACCACATCACACCTACCCCAAAATTGACCACATAATCGGGAGTAAATCACTCCTCAGCAAATGCAAAAGAAGGGAAATCTTAACAGTCTCTCAGACCACAGTGCAATCAAGTTAGAACTCAGAATTCAAAAACTAACTCAGAACCACACAGATTCATGGAAACTGAACAACTTGCTCTTGAATGTTGACTGGGTAAACAATGAAATGAAGGCAGAAATAAAGGCTGTCTTCAAAACCAAAGAGAATGAAGACACAACATACTAGAGTCTCTGGGACCCATTTAAAGCAGTCTCTAGAGGAAAATATATAGCAATAAGTGCCCACATGAAAAGCAAGGAGATATAAAAAATTGACACCCTATCATCAAAATTGAAAGAGCTGGAGGAGCAAGATCAAAAAAACTCAAAACCTAGCAGAAGACAAGAAATAGCTAAGATCAGAGCAGAACTGAAGGAGATAGAGACACAAAAAACTCTTCAAAAAATCAATAAATCTAGGAGCTGGTTTTTTTAAAAGATCAACAAAATAGACAGAACACTAGCCAGATTAATAAAAAAGAAAAGAGAGAATAACCAAATTGATGCAATAAAAAACGGTAAAGGTGATATCACCACAGATTCCACAGAAATTCAAACCATCATCAGAGATTATTACAAACAACTCTATGCACATAAACTAGTAAACCTGGAAGAAATGGATAAATTCCTGGACACTTGCCTCCTCCCAAGCCTAAACCAGGAAGAAGCCGAAACCCTGAACAGACCCATAACAAGGTCTGAAGTTGAGGTAGCAATTAAGAGCCTACCACCCAAAAAAAGCCCAGGTCCAGATGGGTTCACAGCCGAATTTTATCAGACCTACAAAGAGGAGCTGGTACCACTACTTCTGAAACTATTCCAAACAATCCAAAAAGATGGAATCCTTCCCAAATCATTTTATGAGACCAACATCATCCTGATACCAAAACTTGGCAGAGACTCAACAAGAAAAGAAAACTTCAGGCCAATATCCATGATGAACATAGATGAAAAAATCTTCAATAAAATACTGGCAAGCCGATTGCAACAGCACATCAAAAAGCTAATCCACCATGATCAAGCAGGCTTCATCCCGGGGATGCAAGGCTGGTTCAACATACGCAAGTCTATAAACGTAATACACCACATGAACAGAACCAAAGACAAAAACCACATGATTATCTCAATTGATGCAGAGAAGACCTTTGACAAAATTCAACAGCCCTTTATGCTAAAAATCCTCAATAAGCTAGGTATGGACGGAACATATCTCAAAATAGAAAAAGCTATTTACAACAAACCAACAGCCAATATCATACTGAATTGGCAAAAACGGGAAGTATTCCCTTTCAAATTTGGCACCAGACAAGGATGCCCTCTCTCGCCACTCCTATTCAATGTAGTGCTGGAAGTTCTAGCCAGAGCAATCAGGCAAGAAAAAGAAATAAAGGATATTCAAATAGGAAAGGAGGAAGTCAAATAGTCTCTATTTGCAGACGACATGATTGTATATCCAGAAGACCCCATCGTCTCAACCCAAAATCTCCTGAAACTGATAAGCAAGTTCAGCAAAGTCTCAGGATACAAAATCAATGAGGAAAAATCACAAGCATTCCTATACACCAATAACAGACGTAAAGGGAGCCATATCAAGAACCAACTGCCATTCACAGTTGCCACAAAGAGAATAAAATACCTAGGAATACAACTAACAAGGAACGTAAGGGGCCTCTTCAAGGAGAACTGCTCAATGAAATAAGAGAGGACACAAACAGATGGAAAAACATTCCATGTTCCTGGTTAGGAAGAATCAATATCGTGAAAATGACCATACTGCCCAAAGTAATTTACAGATTCAACACTATCCCCATCAAGCTACCAATGACCTTTTTCACAGAACTCGAAAAAAAAAAAACCTTAAACTTCATATGGAACCAAAAGACAGCCTGCATAGCCAAGTCAATTTTAAGCAAAAAGAACAAA